TTAAAGCTTTACTAATAACATCATTTAATTTGTTGAGGTGATAAAGAAACTTCAGAAACTAAGGTGAATATTTTAAGGCAACAGTTCTTCATTTTTATTTAATACACAATAAATATTAAAGTTTCAAAATTATGCTATCCTGACATTTTAATACAGCAAACCAAAACAGACTGGACTTTGAAAAGAATCTATTGTTTGGTTAAAGGATGATGATGCATTCAGCTTCATTTTTATTTATTTATTTGTTTTTTGAAGTTAACGTCTCCAAGTTTCCCAAAAGTTGAAAATTCTCACAACCTTGATCTTTAAATCCAAAATGGCTGCTGCATTCTTAAAACATCGTGCCAGAATATGATTTTTATTTATTTTTTTTTTTACTTCTGCCTGGTTGGATTTCGCGAAGAGCTTTCATGCGTGTAAAGGTTTTACACACATATAATTGTACAACCCCTGTTAGTAAATATGTTCCTGTGGTGTTTAAGGATTTAAAAAGTAAAGAAATGCATCATTATTAACCTTACGGTTTACAGCAGATAGCTTGTCAATAAGAAGAGCTGAAAGTGTAAAACACTGATTCTCCTCCTTGGAACTGGAACATGGTAAAGTTGGGTTTGGAGTGATTTAGTGTTATTGTGTAACACTGTAACAAATTGCAACAAACACAACAGAAAATTGTGATTCTGATTGTAAAAGTGAGAGCTTGTCAAACAGCAACAACTGTAGTGTCTTTTACGGCTGCTGTGCAAACAGGATGCAATAAAAGCAGCCAGGATAAATTATTTATCAGCAATTCACTTATTAATAATGTCAATAATTCGAAGGCACATTTAGTCTTTAGTAAAAGGTGCACATTTAAACGAGGGGAATACATAGTTATCTTGCATTGCTAATAGTTGTTGGCAACACAATTATTAAGTTTTTTAAATTTGCAACCCGAACAGGAAAATAAATGGGTGCGACATCGTTCAGAAATCCACCTTTGACTGCAATACAGACGCACTATTGAGAAATTACATGTTTCATCAAGAGGAACATGTCATTTAATTTCAGGTGAGACTTGATGTTCCACAGGATCTCTTCCATTTCCTCACATTTAGACCCAAAAAACACACATTTTCTACAAGCAAGTATGACGGCAGGTTAAATTTTGAGAACCTCGGCTCTACAGCTTTCTGTAAGTAGGGCAGTTTGATTTTTTTTTTTTTTTAAATTATGAAGGAAATAATGACCCATATAGCACATGCACACTGTATAATTAGTGCAGCTTGCTGTAGTGACTAAATGCCTCAGTGGTGTTTTGCTATTTATTATTAAATAACTGTTATTCCACCCCCAGACAACCAGCAGAGGAGGAGATGAGTGTGCAAGATATAAACAAACCGTCCTGCAGGCATCTTTCCAGACAGACACTCCTCTATAGCCATCCTTGACAACAAGACAACAACGCACGGTGTGTACCTGCGTGGAGTCGGGGCCGGCCTTCACCCTGGTGCTGAGCTCATCGTGGGTGATCTGGCTGTGGTTTTGGCTGCTGTACACGAGCCGGAGAGGCACGGTGTTCTCCTTCCCCACGAACCTGCCCGCATCGCGGAGAGCTTTCAGGCTCGACGAGGCGTCTCCTGCACAGAGAGCAAACACCGACTTCATTACCAGCCTGTGCACAAATCAGCGGCGATAAATGAAATGTCGATGGGTTTCATTTCCTCTGATCACCACCAATCTGGTGTGGGACAATGTTTTAGGTAATAAAAACATTTCAAAAAGCGCATATTGATAGGGTGTTTACATATTTACAGGTGCAGAAATAATATCAAAAACAGCCTCGGTTACCATTTGAGGCGTCAGGGCTGCTCTGGTGACCGACGTGCATCAATCCACAGACGCACAAAAGGGAAATCCACCGCGGCATCCTCAGCATCATCACCTTCCTCTCTCTGGTAGGGAATTAAAAACAATGCGGTATTCCGAAACAGGAGCCTCTCGCAGCTCTGCCTCCGCTAGGAGAGGCTGCTGCAGCCGGAGCGGATCGTCTGGTCGGAGCAGTGCCGCGTACGGTGGGCCATCGGTGGGCTCGCTTCCGAGTCTGAACGCGGAGCGCGTCTGAGCGCAACGAGACCCCCGCGGATCGGCGGCGGCACGGAGCGAAGGAAGAGAAAGCGAGACAGGGAGAGAGAAAGAGGGAGGAGTGGGGACACCTCCTTGAAAACATCAACGACCAGCGGCTCGCTGCAGAAACGCCAAATGCATAAATATGAGCGGAGGAAGCAGGAGATGGAGACGAACTGCGGGCCCCGGGCTTTCGGAGACGAGGCTGGTAGAAAAGATCAATGCAGGAGAGCCATTCCTGCACAATCCCGCCTGCTATTATCATGACTCACTCCATCATCTGCCAGGGCTTCAGCTCGCCAAGTCCCCACCCCCACTCAGAGAAAATTGAGAACATGACAGAAAATGAGATGAGCGTTATTAGAACCGTGAGGCTTCAACACAATAATTAATTATTGTGTTAGGGTGTGGTCTGTGTGTACAGCAACAACAAAAATACTCATTATTTGCTCTTATATGTCGAATGATGTGATACAATTCATTTATTTATTTATTCATTTTTCTAATTTGTGTTGATTTTCACATCAGAGCAGGGAGTCCATGCCAGGGGCCTCCAGGAAAATCCTCCTGATGAGAGCAATTGTACTCCAGCATGTCGGGCTCCCTCTCAGGGGAATATATTTGCTTCAGGAACAAGAGCTCCGCACAGTCCGGTACAGATGTTACCTCCCGTTTGACTGATTATCAACCAGAGAAACACCAAATCCCAGCATCCCCTAGGAGACAATGCTCCTTATATTCTCTGTGGACGGAGAAGAGTGCCAACTTGCAGTAAACACTGCAAATAACTCAAACAGCATGTAATTGTTTTTGCCTTATTTAATGTCAATTTATTCTTTTCTTCTGTTGTTGCAGGCCATGATTTCACTCATTTTGGTTATGATGTGTTCATTTGTCTTCTTATGTGCATTGCCATTATTTCCATCAGTTTTTGCTTCAAAAGTTCCTATTTTCCGAATTGTTTAGTGGTTCTTCTTTGACGTAATCTCTGCAACGTTTTGACTTTTCTATTGTCTCTTTTTTTTAACATTTTGATTGCTTGGGATCCCATATTGTCAACTTAATTGTCTTACATATTTTTCTTGCTTTTTTCCTCTGGTATCTGGGCCAAATACAATTTATTAGGCTTATGCATATCCACTGGCATTCACTCAGGTACAAATTAAAATATTCAGCTGAAAATGCTGAGTATTTTCAGCATTTTCTAAAGTATTTCTAAGTAAACTTAAAAAAATAGCAAAACATTATATATTTATTATAAGTATTAATTATATATTTGAAACATTACTTTTGTGAAGATCAATACATGTTGTGAGTCGGAGCATGTATGTATACAGCCATTGACTTAATCTTTCCACAAAATACATAACCACATAACCTCACAATTTCATTATTATGTGATCATAATAATAATAATAATATTGTAGCAACAGTTACATTTTACTGAAATTAGCAACTATCTTTTACAACTGAAATCTTCAGCTACTTTTATGCTGTGTCTCGTGTTCTTCAGTAGCTCTTCAGCCTGGCTAGCTTTCTGAGAGGACGAACTGCCGTTTCTTAGCCCTCTCGAAAGCAGACTCTCTCATTGCCGGTGCAGTGAAGTTATTCCAGTCAAACAGGGAAGGAACAGCTCCACTTTTAAGGCGGCTGGTGGTGGATCCGCTAACAAAATCCTCCGGTGTGAAGTGGCGGCTACATACGAAAGTGCTCCCCGTCTTTATGCAAAAGTCCGGACCTTCATCTCTTCGGATCGCCTGGATCCACTGCCTCCGTTGGTCCAGGTCCGTCGGGAACGCATGATATGACAGATAAGGCTGTTTTCTTGGACTGAACAAAAACAACTACGCCGAGACTGAGCCATTTTCCTAGCCTTTTAATGCTAACGCTATAGCCACCGGAAGTTGTCAAACCCCACATCCGCCCCGGCCTCGCGCATGCGCACAATCGGCCTGACCCCGCGCATGCGCACAACCGCCCGGGCCCCGCGCATGCGCACAGCCAATCGGGCCCCGCGCATGCGCACAACCGCCCGGGCCCCGCGCATGCGCACAACCGGCCGGGAACCGCGCATGCGCACAACCATCTGGGTCCCGCGCATGCGCACAACCGGCCGGGACCCGCGCATGCGCACAACCATCTGGGCCCCGCGCATGCGCACAACCAACCGGACCCCGCGCATGCGCACAACCGTCCGGGTCCCGCGCATGCGCACAACCGTCCGGGCCCCGCGCATGCGCACAACCGCCCCGACCCCTGCGGGTGGATGTGTCGTGTAGTCATGGTCTGCAGTAGCATCTTCAGCCTGTCTAGCTTTCTGAGAGAGGACAAGCTGCCGTTTCTTAGCCCTCTCGAAAGCAGACTCTCTCATTGCCGGTGCAGTGAAGTTATTCCAGGCAAACAGGGAAGGAACAGCTCCACTTTTAAGGCGGCTGGTGGTGGATCCGCTAACAAAATCCTCCGGTGGGAAGTGGCGGCTACATACGAAAGTGCTCCCCGTCTTTATGCAAAAGTCCGGACCTTCATCTCTTCGGATCGCCTGGATCCACTGCCTCCGTTAATGTAAAAAAATGCACATTAGTGTAGATTTTAAGCAACATGAATGCACACTTTGTATTTGTATAAATTGGCAACATTACAGTAATACATTTCCACTATATTTGAACAGTATCTTTGAGCAGTTTTTACACAGGAGTGGAAAGGTTTATAATTTGATTTTGACTCTATAATATAAGATAAAGCTGGGGGGTTCCAAATTTTACCTTTTTTCCATTATTCAAAAGACAATGTAATTGTGATAGAGAAATGCAGTAAATTTTACAATCATTTTTATTTAAATGACATCCTTTAAATTTGATTTGACACATCACAAATTGATTTAAAAATCTTACCAATCAGTAATTTGGAGTATTGCGCAATCAATCAAAAGGGAGAAAACTTCAGTATTGCTTGGATTCCTGATTCGTAGATAATCAATAGTCAATAGTTTTATAGTCACTAAATATACCAGGAACAAATACAAAGCCACTGCATTTATAGCAAACAGTATTGATAAATGTCCAATTGACACGTTGGGGTGGTACTGTAGAAACATTCTTTAATTTTCTCTTCAGTTTAATAGAACGTTAGATTTATTATTAAAATGTGAAATAAATAACACAAATTTATGAATTAAAACCGTACAGTTACCAAAATACATAGGCACAGACCAACATTCATCTTTGAGGTTTCCAACTTCCCTTGTGGCTGAACAAAAACAGAAGTTCACCCAGGAGCTGACATTCACTCAAAAAGGGAATTGAAAAACCAATATTTTATTACATAGAAAACTGAAGTGGTTTTTAATTCATTCAGACATAAACGTGAGATCAAACCTGAAACCATTTTATCAAAACTCCAGTAAATTTTTTTTATGTCATATTTTTAGTCTGTACATATCCATAATGTAAATTGTAGATTGTGAAGTTCAGAGGGGGGGCGGGGTTCTTGTAACAACAATTTCTGAAACATTAAAATATTTCAGGGAACAAAATCAGTTTGTAAACCACACATTTTATCTGAATAAGGTAAAAAATGATGGTTCTAGTTCATGGCTCAAAAAAAAAAAGTTTTTCCCCCTTTTAGTTTTTGATGTTATCTAATCTGAAAAACCAAGAAACTCCACATCCACGTCACTTGACCGGAAAATCTCCCAAAGCTTCAGTACCGAGTTCTCGGGTTCTGGCTCTGCAGACTGGCCGCTTGAGTCCACTTTCCGCCTCTTGTGTTTATAAGCTCTGATCTTCCTCTGAATTTTTTGCACCGTAAAGATTGGCAAATTAGGGTTTTCCTCCTCCTTTACAGAAAGACTGTTAGTTTTTGAGAATGTTTTTGCCTCAGACAGAACAGCGTCCTTGTTCGTATCTTCGGCTCCGTGCGTCACAACACTGAAGTTGCTCGCTGATGCTTCACTCTGCAGGTTTGGACCTCGTAGGTAAGAGACTGAGCTGTTTGTGTCTTTGTGAGAGATTTTGTCTCTGGAGGGAAATGTGGTGAGAAATTCTCCATCAGAGTGAGGATTTTCTGATTTCGGTTGAGGAATCATGATCTGCTCAGATTTCTCAATTGAAGATTTTTGCCTGATTGTCCGCTTGGAAGCAAGAAACGTGTGCTTGGACTTGTCCGAGTAAGTGTAGCAGTTCTTTCGGGCTCCTTTTATGCTGAAATCTTCTGAACACGATTCTTCAGATGCATCAGAGATCCAGTCCTCTTCTTCCTTAACGGTGTCTGAATGACTTGCGTCTCCTTGGCCTGCTTCTCCACATGGTCCAGGGGCACACAGAACAGAAGAAACACTGCACTTTCGTCTAAACAAAAACAACAAATTTTGAAATTAACAGTGAAATAAACAGAAGAAATGAGAAATGATCTGATTCTTATTTGTGTGGCGATTCCACAGGAGAAGAAATTACCTCATGTCTTTAGTTTTGATGGGAAGGAAATTGAAGTGCAAAGTCGAAACCTGCTGGTCCACAACCAAATACCCGTCGCTCCTGGAGAAAGCCTGGTGACGTTCACTCTGCACATGCTAAAATAACATTTTTTTTTTAAGTAAATAAAAAAATATATTCTTTAAATTGCTCAGTTAAATTACTGATGATGGTTACAGCCATCAAAATATCTAAAAGAGATTCTTGATAAACTGAATTAATAATTCACTGAGCAACATAACATTAAATACCGATGTCATTGGGGACCATCAGAAAGTTTCCATAGATACATTAACAACATACATTAAAAAAAATAATAATAATAATCAGATTAGCCCTTGATGCCTTGATGCCAAGTCAAGCTGGAACTCCTGGGCTTTTCACATGTTACTGTTAGATTTTTTTTCCCGCTACTAATGCATTCTGCAAATGATTGAGCGTACTCTACAGGAATGGCAATAATTGCCTGGATGTGATTGTTATGTTTCTTCCACCGTTGCCTTCAAGACTCTCCAAAAAGGCTGTTCTAGTATTTCACAATCTAACTGGACATATTTATTGTGCACAACATCACTTGTCCCCGATGAAATCATACCATCTTGAGTTGGTCATATTTGACCATGCAGCACTCGCAGTAACCGCCTCTCTTCTTCTCTCGGTTCTTCTTTCGGCCTTGACCTTTCTCCTCAGCACCTGAGGCTTTCGCTCTGTAAGAAGATTAAATATAAAGAGATGTTGACTCCAAACTCTGCTGGAGATTCGCATTAGGAGTGCAAGACAAAAAAATTATGTTATCTGCAACATTAATAAGAATTAAAATGAAGACATCAGTTATCAATCAACATTTTCCATTTTGACCTTTGACACTGATATGTGTGACGTACAAGCATTTACTGCAGCCAGACTTTATACAAAGCACTTCATTTCAAACACTCCTTTAGAGTCTAAATAGAACAATTATATTGAACTGACAATATGGTATTGGTCAATCACTTGCATGACCTCATTTACAGCAACCAATTTTTAAAAATTACAGTTTGGAGAACTGTATTAGGTAATATATATGAGTTTGACTGCATTAAAACAACACAGGCACAAGCTGAGACAAGAATCATTACAGTATTATCTATTTTTCAGGCACATTATGTCATTTTATAGCACAATCAAGTCATTATGTTACCTTCAGAAATGTTATAATTTAATGCCTTGAGATCGGGATTCTCTTTAGGAAACGCTTGCTCTTTCTTAAACTTCAAGAAGACATTACATCATTCTTCTATTAACCATTTCACAACGTTTTTAACCAGCATTACACTGACTATTAGCTCAGCGGAAGAGCAGCTCCATCAGATGTTTGCCAATCACTGTGGGCTAGTCTGAAGGAGTCGAGTGGCGCAGTCGCAGGGGAGAGGTGCTGTATGAGCTTGAAACCTGCGGCTCCAAGGAGGAGCTGTGCCTCGAAGGCTGCAGTAGTTCCATCCCAGGCGTTTTACACAGCTGAACTGTTGCCATGGGACATGAAAGGATTTCTCAATCATGCATGAAACAATCAAGACAACAGTCCAGGTATGTTTTTGATAAGGAATAACTTTTAATACAATATAAATCTCAAAAACGTTGATCTTAAATATGAAGCAAAAGATCAACTTTTGTCTATAAATTATGGCCGTACAAACTAAGGCGGCACATTATTAACAAGTTGGATCGGATCGGAGAAAAAGTAAGAGTTGGCCTATTCTCAATGGTGTAATATATATTTAACCTACTGCAGCATTTTCACTGTATATAATCACTGAAAAGAAAAGGCCATTACCATAAAAATGGCCTCAAATCACAAGATTCGCTCCAAAAATAATCTTAAGGGACCATTCTCTTTAGTTGAGCTTTAACTCAGTTTTGTGTTTGCAGATCAGGACAGCTAATACACCAAAAGTAATTTTGTGCTGAAGCACAGAGTTATATTACCTGTGTCCATGTTGTTTGATTCCAGAAGGATTTTTCTCTTCGACACAGAAGGGACTGTAAGGAGCTGCTGTCTTCAGGCTGAACTCCGGCAGGTTTGGCATTGTGAGGTAGATTGGACGATAGTGTCTGATAAAAGAGAAAATGCCGTTTATTTGTTGCCACTTTTAAGAGAATCAAAGTGTACTATACTCCTTTTTTACCTGCTTGAATCTTCAATCTTAATAAAAGGTTTGGTGATCCTGCCTGCTGCAAATTACATCACAACTCTTGAGCATGCAGGCATTGAAGGGTCTCTAATATTCATATATTAAAATTAGAGACAGTTAAAACTGGAGGCGGCATTTACCTTTACATTTCTGGAAACCCAACTTAGTTGAAGATTCATTTTTCACCTATGAAATTAAAGAGCAATGAACATTGTGAAGAAATTGAATTTACAACAACAAAACAGGTCAACTATTTTAAAACATACATGCAATTTCACAGGAGCAGCTGCTGAAACCAGGTTCCCAAACATTTTCTTTTTCTTCTGAATGTAAGCCAAAACGTCTACAGAGGACATGAAAATAATTCAAGGTAAAGTAAAAATAATCATACATAAAATGACATTGTATTAATTATTGTTAATTAATCAACCAACCAACCATCTAGGTAAAGGATCTTGACACCCCATTCTAGTGCATTTGACAGGATTCTGTCCATTTGCAGCCTCCCCTAAAAAAACAAAAATGTCAGCACAGAAACGTGAAGGATGGATAAAATGCCTAAATCAAAAAGGTAAATATCTCTAGAGCTGTAGCCAACCTGTCCTGTCACCACTCTTTCCACCAGAGACTTGCCTCTGCTCTTGATCATCTGTGAAACAAATGCATTTAATAACAAACCATATTCAAAAATATTAAACTTCTTTCAGGGATATAAAACGCCAGTTCAGACTCACTGTATCCAATTGACCCTGAGACTTGGTTTTGTCCCTATGGTTCGTTGGACAGTGTGGGTTTGAGTGGGGTTGTGGGGAACTCTGTCCAGAGTCGGTACTGGGGACAGGAGAGTCCTGTCTGAGGCAGTGTACATGCTTCGCTTCACGCTTGTTGGAAACTAGATACTTGATTTCCTTACTGAAGAACTTCTCAACGATCTAAATCACAGAACAGAAAAACTTGCAATAAAATGTTCAGACATATGTGAAAACAATGGAGAAATGTTTTCAATCAGTTTTGAAATCTTTCTGGTGCTGCGTAATTCATGATTAAACCCCAGCTGTGACTGTCAGCTTGTTTTAATTTTTTATTAATTTGACATAAAGTCGAGGCAAAAAAGCTGCACTCTCAGACAAACTAGACACAAAGATCTGATAAAGAATTTCTGCAAAATTCAGAAAGTTGTTGCTGTGCACAGAGAGAAAGTGTGTCCAAGACCAACAGGATTTACATAGATAAATTTGGCTTGAGAAACTCTCAAATCTTTCCAATATAAAAAAATAAATAAATATTTATTTATTACCCCGCCCAGTTGTTTGATGTCGCTCTCCAAGGTTTCTGCTGTTCTGTTGGATTGCAGATCCAGGTAAAACACTTTTCCAGCAAAAGGTTTGACTTGTGATGAAGAGGTTTGCTTCGCCTTGCTCACTGATGTCTTCTCACCAGCATTTACTCCTTTTCCTGAAACATTGAAGTTAAAACTGCTAAAAGGTTCAGTGGTGGTGACCGTTTCCACAAACAGAACATTCACCTTTCCTTAAGAAAAACATTTAAAGCACAGAGATATATTTAGAGCTGCTATTTTGTCAAATAAAGCTCAAAGCATGTTTGATCATAAGCTCCTTAATCTTTAATGATGTGAATGCAGATTTTACTCCCCTTTAAAAGTAACCTATTAATGATATAAGGGTGCATTTTGTGTGAATTATCAATTGGATGTAAAGTGCATGAAATATGAGCTATATATCTGTACCTTGTAAGTTGGATCCTGGATTCTGACGAAGATCTTGACTGTGTTTTGGTTTCATATTTTTCTCACTGACTGAGAACAAGACAGAAACCTTCTCCTTTTACCTTTTACGCCATAAAGTCCGCCTCAGCTCACTGTTTACAAACAAAAAAAAAAGTTATTCAGACAGAGAACCAGAAGAATACATTTTTAAAAAATAGTCGCAAATGCAGCTTCGCCTCAGTGAAAACGGCATGTTTACCATTTAAATCACATTCAGATGTTAATCAAAAAACTATGTCCGAACTCGTTGGAGGGTGTACAGGAAGTTTACAATGTCTACTATGTCACATTTTATCAAGCCTAAAAGTTGAACTTACTTCACTTCGCGTTTTTGTTAAATGAAGAATGTTTGCGTATTAAAGCCTCAAAACATTCAGTTGTAAACTTTCTCTCAGCGTTTCTTCCAACGGTCAGTTCCCGCTTTTTAAATCCAGTCCGTCGAGCTCAGGTTGCCAGGTCCGGCTTTTCCGGTTTCAAAATTGTGTGACCCTTCTAACACATTACAACAGCATGGCGAAAAAAAACCCCGCTAAAATGTCATTAACTAGCATTCTTAATGCAATTTAAATGTCTTGAATGAGTTGTTTACCGGAAAATTTGACTGACTGCCTCATTCAAAATGTAATTTCTTGCGGTATCCTCTGACCGAAACTCTGCAAATTTGGCAACCCGGAGTTTAGGTAAACTCAAGCCTGATGCTTGAAATGGACGTTTCCGTACAGATACATAACATACAAATTAAAGAGCTGACATTTTAATAACTTTGAAATTGTAGTTTTATTTTATTTTGAATTGCATTCGATTGGTTATTTGTAATATTTTAAAAAAACTTGATACATAATAAATAAGAAAATTATAGAATGTGCTGAACCGGGCCGCTTCGTTATGTCATCTGGCAACGTTTGCGGTGTAAACAGACATGCTAGTTGGGTTATGACATCCTGAAAGTACACACGTGTTTCAGCTATGCTCAACTACTACCTTTAGAACAGGAGTTACTCCCTTGTTTTTTGGGAATTAAAAACCCTGAAAGGGACCACAATGGTTGATTTCACAGAATACGTCATTGGTGCTCTTGTATTTTGACAGGCAAGTGGTTATTTGAGCTAATAGGCTAAGCACGGTTAGCCATAGTAACGTCTGAGATGTAATTATTTCATAACATAGTAACTAAATTGCATTACTGCATTTCTTATAGCAAGCCATGGCGGACATTTTAGATAACTGATGTGTCGGAATACGTATTATGTAAAATTATTGATCTTTTTTTTGTTGTTGTTGATCCAAAGACGAAATGAATGGTCAAACTTCACCTTCTCCTGCCGTCAATGGCATCACTCCTGTCCAGCAGATGATTTCTTCCTGTTCCGGAGCCATACTTACATCTCTGCTTGGTGAGAAATCATAGCATTAAACTCAAGAGCTGTAATCATCTTAATCATCAGTTATTTAGAGTTAAACAAGATGATTCGTTTCAACTTTCAATTCAGATGATCGATTATTTATTTTGGTGAGTCATTGCAGCTAGTTTAACAAAAGTAAATATTCGGAGACTCATTTTTTCTGACCATAAAACAAGTTGTCCATGGTGCATTGATTCAGCAGTTCATGCACAAGGAAACCCACCTATTGCATAAATTGTAAGGAGCCAGGCATATTTCTCAGCAAGCCATCATTTCTGTATTGAAATACTATTTTCGTTTGTCATGTGTAATAAATATCGCATTAATAGAGAAACTGAATTTTGGCTCTTCAGTGGCTATAATTATTAAAATTAAGAGAAATGCTTATAATCTAAGTTTATTTACTCCATATTATAGATAAGTTTTACCCTTTCAATTGAATTAACTTGTACTTATTTTAAAATTCATCATAACAGTGGTCTAATTTGTATCTTTAAAAAATGCTATTGAACAGAAACAAATACTCTGGATTTGTATGAGTGTGTGGTTGGTGTAAAACAGGTAATTATCTTGTAATACTCCGATTATAGTCAGACCAGAAGTGTTGATGTTGAATGATATTTTTACCACTAAAATTATTTACTTTACTTGTAGACTTTTAAAAGAATAAAATCATTTACAGTTAAAATTAAAATTATTTTATTTTTATGGACACCAGCTTTAACTTGGGATAGAAATTGCTCAGTTCATATGAATGATTATAGCATCGGTTGTTCCCTTTTTCTGTATCACCCTGATAGTATCAGGATACATTAGATGATCACCAGAAGGATTATACATCTTCTAAGTTCTACATCAGTTCTTTTTTTCTATTTACAAAGGCCATCAAGTACTGTACTGGGCCTCACGTTTTGACTTTCTTTATTTTGAGAACACACTGGACAATATGCCCTCATTGACATAAAAATGGACTGGATCGAACCCTAACCCTCGCCAAGTCCTAAATTTAGAGTGAAGTTAACAACCTGTAATCCCTAAACCCACCTTCATGATCCCTACCAGCAAACATCTAAAACTTCTGCTTTCATGGAGGAGCTCACACCTACTAATGATTAGTTAATCAGTGTGATCGCATAAGCAGCACCTGGCTGCTGCTTATCCTCTTAAATCCTCTGGAAGCTCCAAGGTACGACTTAGTTGACCATGAACGCTTTTGCTGCATTTTATCTTGGTATTTATAAAACATACCTTACATAAAATCATATGCCATGTATTATTGTCCACAACAGGTTTTATTTATAAAAACTACTGTTAATTTCTACCAACGTCGACATCAATATCTAAATAGCTAAAATATTCTATAAAAGATTATGGCAATTTAAAGGAATCAAATTGCAAAATATTATGCTTACAGATAATTTTTAATGTAAAAACATTTTATAACTTTTTATAGATTTAGCGTAAAGAGAAATCTGTTTTCGTAAAACTTACTTATGGTAAAACTGTAAATCTTGATCTGTTCCTTTTTTTCCAGTCACACCTTTAGATGTGGTAAAAACCAGACTGCAAGCTCAGAACAATCCCTTGGGAAAAGGTACAATTTATGAAAAAGACTTTCAATATGTTTCACATTTTAGAATATTGCATTTTCCACCATACTTGCTAAAATTCTACGTTTTTCATATAATTTTACAGGCAAATATTTTGTCTACTGTAATGGCCTCATGGACCACATTTGTGTGTGTGAAAATGGAAAGGGCTGGTACAAAGCCGCCGGCCAATTCAAAGGCACCTTCGTAAGGCTTCACACACGCACTGGTTGCAGTAAATAGTGTCGTCAGTGTTTAAAGCTCTGTTAGCTCGATGTTTTGGTAAATGCCCCGTTTCTGTGTAAATGGTAAAATATCCCTAATGCGTTTAAACTTCCCACTCTGCATCTCTGCAGGACGCCTTCTATAGGATAGTGTGCTGTGAGGGAATCACAGCCTTATGGAGCGGCCTTCCTCCAACACTGTGAGTGTAAAGTTTCCTCTGTGTTTCATATCTATGTTACATATTGACTGCAGCGATTCTATGCAAAGTCTGAAAAAGTGTCTTTTTCAGGTCTTATATGTATGGAAAAAGTAAGCAGAACATGAAATAACTAGAACATTTCAGTTTCCTCCTTATCTAACGGTTGCATCAATTCATCATATATTTTATTCATTCTCTCATCCACCTGTTTATAGAGCTGTCCTGTAATGATTTGCTTTTTCACCGATATGTGGATTCATTTATTCATTCTTCTATTTCTCCTTCCATCCATCATGTTTTTCCATACATTTAATTGGTTTTCCATCCATCTAAGTTTCCTTTTGATATTTGCTCATTTGTTTGTTCATTTCTTCCCATTTCTATTATTTGCAGTATTCATGTATAATTAGTCTAAACCCTTAATGCCAGTCGTTGAGCGATGCTGGTCTGTCAGTGTTCGTTTATTTTACATTTAATGAATAATTTCATTCATATTTAATGAAAATCACTCAGTCTTTGTAAAAATGGGTCCTACGTACTACGTGTTTTCTTGTGGTTCCAGTGTGATGGCGGTCCCGGCCACAGTGATCTACTTCACGTGTTACGATCAGCTGTGTGCAGCGCTGAGGGCGAGGATGGGAGAGCGAGCCCAGGAGGCTCCGCTGTTAGCAGGAGCCATCGCTAGAGGTGAAACTCTTCTGCTCTTCATTTCACTCTGCTCAAGGAAGAACATTGTTTCTTATCTCAGTCTGATGGAGGTGCTCGTTTCAGCTGAATTAATCAGTGATTTTATTAATGGTTAGAAATTAATTTCCTGAATAGTGTCTGAGGGCAAAGTTTTGCCCTTTTATCTCCAGCTTGATGAATCTGATCCCACACGGATTTTATTATAAGAAAGTGAGTGGTTTCTCTGCCCTGATCCGCTGTCTCTCAGTTTAATAACGCCTCTAGGTGGTCACAACAAGCAGAATTAAAGCACTGTTTGTAATTCAGTAAACCTGATCTGTTTTTAACCAAAATGCTTCTTGAAGCAATCTTCCTTTCTGATACCATTGTTACTCCGGGTCTTTCCCTGTGATTCCAGCTTTGGCTCCTCTTTGTTTCAGTGGGTTCAGCGACCGTAATCAGCCCCCTGGAGCTGATCCGCACCAAGCTCCAGTCTCAGAAACAGTCGTACAGCGAGCTGACCAGCCTCATCCGCTCTGCAGTGCAGGCAGAAGGCTGGTGGTCTCTGTGGAGGGGTTTGGGACCCACCCTGCTCCGAGACGTCCCCTTCTCCGCCATGTACTGGTACAACTATGAGCAGGGCAAGAGCTGGCTGTGCCAGTGGCATAACACCAGAGAGCCCACGTTCACCATCACCTTCATGTCTGGAGCCGGGTCCGGCTCTGTAAGTACCTCTCCTCCTCCTTCAGGATCCACCATCTGCATGCAGACTTGAATGGCTTTTGGTTTTAACTAAGTTATTTGTTAATTTTTAGGTCTGTCACAATCACAGATGTTGCTGGAGGATAAATTGTTGCAGATGTTATTGCGACAGACAATAATCGCTTTTATTTCTTAACCACCCTTCCTACTACAATCAATTCAAAGTTCTGTACAGATTAATGAAATAAACCTACAAAATAAAAACGTTTACCCACCCCTTCCTCACATGGAAAAACACACAGCTGTATGGAAAATGTCTAAATATTGTTGTTTTGAGACCATTTCCAAGTGAAATAATGGTAATTACATAATAATGCAATGCAAGAACACTTTCTCAAAGACCCATAATAAGCTTTAAATTCTAATGAACATTTAACACTGACTGGAAAACACACAACAAATAAAATGGATTATAAAATCTCTTTGACTTTGTCATCCATTTGGTAGAAAGAGAGCAAAGAAAAAATATAAACCATGCAGATGGAAATTATTGAGCTCAGTTTAATTTATTATGTGATTGATTGATTGATTTATTGCTTATTGCAACTGGCCTACTAATTTGTG